TGTAAATTTGCGAAATCAGTAAATTATTTTTATCGATATTATAGTATATAAATCAGATGCTAATATGAAGATTTAAAATTACTTTTCAGAAATTTATATATATATTTTATGATTATTATGGACTAGGTTAATTATTAAGGGATTTCTACTAGTAGAATAGTGAACATATCTAGTTATGAGAACTTCTTGGAGAAAGCTTAGTTTAGGTAATTGAGTCCTAATTTTAGTTGTGTTAATTGTTATTTGGAAGCTTTAAGGAATTTCCTTTAGTTTACGAAGTTCAGGTAAGTGGATTCTATCATAAGTTACCGCCTTGTATGTTTTGTTGTATTATGTTTGACTGTAAGTGAATTATGTTCTTTGTTACCTTGTTTGTTATGGAATTATGTTTTTCATGTTGTTTAAATATATTTTGCTATTGAATGGTGATTGTGGTTAAATTTGATGTATTGCAAAGCATGTTATGATTACGTGGTTTTATCATGTCATTTTAAGTATGTTTAATAGCAAAACATGTTTAGGTAAAACATGACATAATGTGTGATGCATTGCATTCATAGTTAAGTTAGTAGTCTTATGTGTCATGGATTTAGGTAAGTTAGTAGTCTTATGTGTCATGGATTTAGGTAAGATTAATGTTATGCATGAAATACCCAAATTAAGCAGTTATGTTATGCAGCTAGATGTATGATATGACATGTATGGTTTCTGCTAGAGGCTGGGCCCTAGAAAACAAATTAGTTCATGTTAATGGTATTTGTGGGGGGTAATTACCCTATAAATATTACATGCGGAATTGACGGTTATGGTATGGGGTATTTCTGCATAGCATGCCGCCAAATTAAGGATTTAGATATGTAAGTTTATGCTAGCAAGCACAAGTATCTTAAGTTAAGTTGTTCGTTGGTTTATATGTTAGGTTGAGGTATGCATGCATATAAGCATGATGTGTGTGTTTGAGCATGAAAGGTTTCTTATGATGGGAACTACTTACTGGGTATTTTTTTTACACTCATACCATGTTGTTTCAATTTTTTTACATATAGTTATATAGTTGACGAGAATAACGTCGAGGATGACCTGGGCATTGACGAGGAGGAGATATGAGACACAGTTGAATTTTATTTATAMTMTATACYTTTAATTATGACTATACCACATTTTTACTTGTTTTATTTAAGGATAATAACTTTGTGATTTCCGCTGCTAAAGATTTATAAGTTAAGTCTTATTAAGTTATCATTTTCATTTTTAGATGAAAATACAAGTTTTTATCTTATTTTATTTTAATGAAATTATGTTTTATGAGTAATTATCTCAATATTATATTATTAATGACATATAAAAATTGGGGTCATTACAGTTGGTATTAAAGCGATAAGATCTTGTAGACTAGCTTATAATATAAGCTGTGATATATGTAGATTTTAAAACAAAGTAAATTAATTGGTTTGTTAGTTTTCCAAAAGATGTTTGTCTCATGCTTCAACCTCAACAATGCCAGGTACTATCCATACGTTTGTTTTGTTAATTTATTTGCTTTAATGCCATGTATATTTATGCTTAACTATTTTTATTGATTTACCTTAGAACGATGTCTAAGATGATCCTTTAGAAATTATCTAGGCCTAGTGACTGTTAGACTTATGTTTGACTTTTTTATTAGCTCGTTAGTGTAGAATGCTTCATGTTAAATATAAAAGTAAAGAAACTAAAGTCAGATAAAACATTTATATAAAATACCCTTATAGATATGCCACTAAGGAATCGAGGTTGTAATAATAAACTTTCCCACGCCTAGTGGACCAAATGTAACTCCCAAAACATCAATAGGCAACCCTATGGCCAACTAGCTCAATACAACAAATAATCATGACTATGGGTCTAGTCATCCATTATACCTACTAAGTTTGTTAAACAAGCTAAATTAGACCTAGAGTCGTTAGGATATGAGTTAGTAGTATCTATCACTTATGGAACTACCTTTCTTGATACACAACTAAGTCAGGTAACGAAATTGTAGTAGATCACCTGTTATAGCTTAGCTAATTCAGTTAGACCTGTGTGACTTTAACATTATTTTTCAATTGGTTGGCTAGAAATCAAGCTAATATTGATTGCAACAAGAAGGAAGTGTACATCATTATACCTACTTGTAGAACCTTAAAGTTTCGACGAATCAAAACTAAATCCATTCCAAATGTGATCTCAGCCATGAAAGTAAATAAGTTCTTACAACATGGTGCGTGGGCATATCTAACAAACATCGTGGATACGAGCTTAAAGACTTCTAAAGTTGACATATTACAATGCATGTGCAACATTTACGAAGTTAATGAAATAGTAAAGACTATCTTGACTCGCTTTTCATAGTCTTTATAGATGATATACTTGTGTACTCCAGCTCAAGGGAGTAGCATAAAAAACACCTTAGGAAGGTTTTAACAACTCTGAGGTAGAATCAACCCTATGCTAAATTCTCTAAGTGTGAGTTTTGGCTTAATAGAATATGCTTATTGGACATGTTATCCCTGAAAAGGGAATCTTAGTAGATCCATCAAAAGTCTAAGCTGTGAGCAATTTGCCTAGACCTACCAGCATATCAGAGATACGCAACTCTTTAGGTCTTACAGGCTACTATAGGAGATTCGTACAAGATTTCTCCAAGTTAGCAACACCTTTGACTCATCTTACTTGGAAGAATGTTACTTATACGTGGAACAATGATTGCGAGATGAGCTTTCAATAGTTGAAGAAAAGATTAGTTACAACACCGGTCCTAATAATACCAACTTGAGCAAAAAGGATAGTAATCTATAGTGACGGTTCAAAGAAAGGTCTAGGTTGTGTCCTTATGCAACATGGTAAATTGATAGCATACGCCTCACGTCAGCTAAACAAACACGAGCTGAATTATCCCACACATTATTTGGAATTTGCAGCAGTTGTCTTCACGCTTAAAATTTGGCGACACTATCTTTATGGAGAAAACATCAAGATCTTTACTGACCATAAGAACCTTAAGTATTTCTTTACTCGAACGGATCTAAATTTGAGGAAAGGATGATGGTCAGAGCTTGTGAAAGATTACGATTGTGAGATCAATTATCATCCAGAAAGATAAATAGTGTAGTACTTGATGCATTGAGTAGAACCACATCTCATATGGAATCTATTCCTGTCACCTCCAAGGAATTAGAAGACTTTGGAGTTGAGATAATTCCTGGAGATGCTAAGCATTGTTAGCACAACTTACAGTTAAACCAACACTAAGACAAAAGATTATTGATGCTCAGCAGATAGATGTGAAGTTAATGGAGTTTGTATGTAATCATAGTTTCCAAACTACTATTGACCTGACCGAGACTTTCGAAGTCTTGCGAAAATATCAGATGAAGCTTAACCCGTCCAAGTGTGCCTTTGGAGTTTCGTCTGGGAAGTTCCTTGGGTTTATGGTGAACCAAGGAATAGAAGCCAACCCAGAAAAGGTAAGGGTCGTGATCGAGATGCAGGCCCTAAAAACTCTCAAGCAGCTGCAATGTCTTAATGGTAGACTTGTTGCCCTCAACAGGTTTGTCTCCAGGTCCACTGACAAATGCATTCCCTTCTTCAAAATGTTAAGGAAGAAGGGACCATTTTAGTGGACACCCGAGTGCGAGGTAGCCTTTGAGGGACTCAAGAGCTATCTCTACTCGGCTCTATTGCTCGCGAAGCCCGTGCCCAGAGATAAACTTCATATGTACTTGGTCGTGTCCGATAATGCAGTCAGCTCGACCTTAATCAAGCAAGAGGGAGTGCACCAAAGTCCAATTTATTACACAAGTAAAGCCACGACCGAGGCCGATACCAGGTATGCTCAAATGGAAAAACTAGCCCTCGTCCTAGTCACCTCGGCGCGCAAACTAAGGCCATACTTCCAAGCCCATATCATGACCGTGCTCACAAACTTGCCTTTGAAGCCTCTTCGATAAGCCAGAGACATCTGGCCGCTTAATGAAGTGGATCGTGGAGCTAAGCAAGTATGACATCCAGTTCGAACCTCGAACAGCTGTGAAGGGGCAAGTTGTTACGGACTTCAGAGCTCACTCCCCCACCAGCTCAAACCTTCGCGTCTGACCAGCTATAGACCATGTACGTGGATGGATCTTCCAACGAAAAAGGATGTGGCATAGGAGTGCTCTTGCTCGCCCCAGATGGCATGCGCTTCGAGTATGCCCTTCGCTTCAACTTTCGTACCTCAAACAATTCTTTTGGTCGGGTTACGTATGGTGAAGGGACTAGGAGCCAACTATCTTCAGATTTTAAGCGATTCCGAACTGATAGTAAATCAAATCACAGAAGAGTATCAGACAAAAGAACCTCAGATGGAGAAATATTTGGGAAAGGTCAGGTCGCACCTCTCCCACTTCCAGGCTTATGAAATTAGCCAGATTCCAAGGTTTGAAAACTCCAACGCCGATGCCCTAGCCAAGTTGGCATCTACCTACGAGACCGATCTGGCGAGATCAGTCTCGATGGAAATATTGGATACTCCTTCCATCCTAGAACCAGTCATGATAGAAGTCAATTCCCAACTCCCATTATGGATGGATCCAATTAAAGAGTTCCTGGCAGGCAACGTGCTAGTAGATGCTAAGGAAGCAAAGAAAATGTCATGGAGAATAGCTCGGTACCTGCTTCGAGATAGAACTATGTACTGGTGCGGATTCTCCTTACCCCTTCTTCAGTGTATCTCTAAAGAAAATGGGAACTACGTCTTGAGAGAGGTACATGAAAAAGTTTGTGGCAACCACTTGGGGGTCAGGTCGTTATCGGCCAAGATCATTCGTCAGGGATACTATTGGCCTACAATTGATCAGAACGCAAAAGAGTTCGTGAAGGCGTGCGACAATTGCCAGCGCTTTGCAAACATCATCCATCAACCCTCCGAACTGTTGACTCGGATCTCAGCCCCTTGGCCCTTCGCAAAATGGGGAGTGGATCTAATTAGACCTTTCCCACTGGGCAAGGGACAGACCAAGTATGTCGTCATCGCTGGGTCGAGACCGAGGCGCTCTCAAACATCACGGAGGTCAGGGTCACGTCCGTCATTGGAAAAATATTGTCTGCTGATTTGGCATTCCTAATACCATCGTGACGGACAACTATAAATAGTTCGACAACGTACAATTCAAATATTTTTGCAGACAGCTCGGAATCAGCCATTTCGGCTCATCCCTAGCTCATCCCAAAGCCAACGGGCACGTGGAAGCAATTAACAAGATCATCAAACGTGGACTTAAGCTAAGGTTTGATGTGAGGAAAGGACGGTGGGCTGAGGAGTTACCTGAAGTCCTCTGGTCCTACCAAACCACTCCTCGAGAGTCCACGAGCGAGACCCCTTTTGCCATGGCCTTCAGCTCCGAGGCCGTAGTGCTAGTAGAGATCAGCATGCCCACTGAAATAGTTGACTACTACGAGCAATTGAGGAATGAGGAAGAGCCGATCCTCAACCTTGACCTCCTTGATGAAAAAGGGAAGCGGTTCAGCTACGTCTGACGGAGTACCAGAACCGAATGGCCTGACATTATAACTTCAGGGTCCAGCCTCGGAGCTTTCAGGTCGGACACTCGGTACTTTGTAATGTGCAGAGGCATGTTGACACACTAGAACCAAGTTAGGAAGGGCCATTTGAAGTCAAAGGCATAGTCCGACTTGAGACATACATGTTGGCCGATCTCGAAGGAAAGTTACTTCTACATCCCGGGAACGCAAAGCACCTGGAGCGATATTACCCTTGAAATGTTGAAATAATCCAAAGATAAATTGGACTTGTAAAAATTTTCAAGGCTAATCCTAATAAAGGACTCCGTGTTATTTAATTTCATGTCTCGTAAAGGCTACGAGTTCGATATGAAATTCAATGGGGCAAGAGATGGATTAAAACTTAAAGAAAAATTCAAACGTTTAGAACTTACGAGTTCGAGGTGCGACATGTTAAACGTATAGAAAAATTTCAAGTCTTCGAAAGAGTTTGGGCCGAGATGTATAAACCTCGAGACCCGGTACATAAAATGTAAAGAAATGAACATGGGAGAGATAGTAGCTTGAAAAAGCGGAAAAGGATGGAGCCCATCAACTGCTTCCGAGGTCGACTCAAGCTCACCTTGGGAGCCCAGGATCTCGACCTCTTAGGAATACACCATCCCGACCTCTTGGGAAGAGATCACATCAGTGGCAGAGAGGGTGGCCCCGTCAACCTATTGGGAAGAAAGGCCTGCGCCTTCCCCCTCATTGAGCTCGCCATCAGACTCGAACTCCTTCAAGCACTAGTCCATAAAGTCTTGGGGGCCTGAGTTCTGTTGGGACCCGAAGCCTATTTCCTAGAGTACCAAAGTTTAATGGGCTCGAGGTCAAGCTTAGGAGCCACTTCCTTGACTCCATTCATCAGGAACCTGAAACCAGCATCGCTGAAGTCCTTGACAAATCCATCAAACTTGGGATGTTGGTGAAAAGTCTCTTCCAAGAGCACCCCGTTGCTGAGTTTGGACTTCTCAAGCTCCAGCACGGCTTTCAGCTTCTCCACCTCGGAGTCTCGGGCTTTCAGCTTCTCCTCAAGGTCCGCTCAGTGACATTTGAGTTCGTCATTTTTCTTTAGATAGGCGAACTTCTCTTTCTCCAG